GTAAATAATTTTTATATCTAAAAATACTCATAACTCGGCTTAAAATTAAAATATAATAAAAAGCCTATGAGATGCACTCGGTAATAATCTTGCCTTTAATTTTTWTAATARGTCAATTCACTMTAAATTTTAAAWTAAYGGAGATAAACGTGATCTGCTGAGCGTAAAATTTGGTATGCTACGCACTTGTACGATGAAGACAACACATGCGGGTGTGGCGTCCCCTTAAGAGTGGCAKTTACTTTCTTGGCATCCTTAAAAGCATGATATATAAAGGATTTTTTTGGATTTAATTCTATTTTGCGCCTTWTATTTATATTTCTTAAAACTCCTTTCGACTTCTTTCTTTCTGTTAAAAAATAATTACAAATGATATATTAGAGTTAAAATAATTGTGTACAAATTTAGTTGTTCTTACCATTGTAATTCAAAGTTGTAGAAGTAAACTTTGAAGGTATTTCGTTTGAATCAGATAAGCTGCTTATACCACACATTTCAGTTGAATCTAAAAAAATATATACATTTGATTTTAAATTTTAAGCTTATCCACTTTAATTTTAAGAAACAATTTAACAAATTAGAGCAATTTCCTAAACATAAATATTAATATACATTAATAATTAATTTATTTTAATTTTTTACTTGTCTTATCAGTTGTACAGATCACAGGTATATTTCTGGAGTTTGAACTGTCTGAAAGATTTGATTCCTGCTCAACTTGATCTTTAACTACAATTTATATGAACAATTATACAATTTTAATTTTATAATGAAAAAGTGTAATTGCAATGTCAGTAAATTTAAAATAAATATGTACCTATTAAACAAGTTGGAACAATAAACTCAAACATAAAAAGCTGTAATAATTACAATTTCTACACTCACTATTTCACTAAGTTTAGACATAGACATACAGCGTTGATTGAAATAGGTATCCAAATAGATGTATTTTCATAGATCCCAAATATACATCAACATATAAAACACTCATTTTATAGAACATTATGAAACACAAAAATTAATCACAAACATATAAAGTACCGATATAACATACACTAAGTAATTAAAAATGTAGTTATAATTTATAACCTAATAGCACCTTAGGACCTCCACCTGAGTTTTACTCAGTGAGGCCCAGTAATCTTTTAATATTAATTTAAATAATTAAAACAGACTGCCAAATATAACTGACTTTACTTAAGCATCTACCACAACTTATACATGCAAATATGACACAGCAACATTTAATAAAACATTAATTTATGATACAAACCATTTAGTAACTTTAATGTTGGTATAGTGTTACAATTTAACTTTTTTGTTCCAGGACTTTTATAATTGTTTTCAAAATGTTTTGCACATACGACAAATGAACCGTAAACTTCATCAATGCTGAGATTGTTTAATTTAGGATTCCTTGAGCACTGAATCCAAATTTTAAAACATGTTTCATCCCTGGGAAACAAATGTTGGATTGTTGTTTTATCCTTATGTGTTGTACCACAATTCAAAATAACACAGTTTTTTGAAGGCATCTAAACATAACCAACCAAATATTAATATATTTTGCAACTTGTTAAGACATTGCTTAAAGCAAATTAACATATAATTTTTATTTAGAGAATGGCTTGTACTTACTTCAGTATACTTACTCAAAGTCTATAAATAATATATTATATGCTCGCACCTTGTAGTAGGTACTTGACTTACTCTACACTTTATAACAATACAAAATCCAAAATATATAATAGTAAATATTATTTACTAAATACAAATACGAAACAACAAAAAATGAATAACCAAATAAGAAATAACCAATATATTTCTGTGATAATTAATTAATTAAATAAAACATGTATTAATAATTATTGTTTTTATTCATATAAAAATAAAAATTTTGTATTTTCTATGTGTACCAACTTTTAAAATGTGTCAATGTTATTAGGTTGTCATTCTGAATGCGTAATCAAGCTATCACCGCTATTCCGTATTAAGTTACCCCCCTATGGTGGTCATGTAGGATATTAAAGTGTTGCTATGCGTGCTTAGATTTTGGTGAAAACGTTTGTACATTGTTGTAGCTAGTTCAGTGGTAGTTGTTATTTTTAAGTTATTGTGTAAGGTAGAATTTGAAACAAACCAGGGGGCTTTGGTAACTAACCTTAGCGTAATTGATTGAAAAGCCTGAATTAGCCTAATGTTCGTGGGCTTGGCCCGGCCCCAGATTGCTGTTCCATAAGACCAGACTGGTCTTATGATTGACTTATATATTATAATAAGTTTGTTTTGGAGTTGAGGAGAGGTCGGATGAGGTGAAGTCTATAGTTTGCTAATTTTCTTTTTTCTTTTAGACGGGGGCCCCAGGTTAATCTTTTATCAAGTGTTATGCCTAAGTACTTTATTTCGGTTCAGACAGGGATGGGGACATTGTTCATAATTAATTGAGGTAACTTGCACAGATTTGTCTTTATTTATTTTAATTTTCCATTTTTTGGCCCATTCGTCAATTTTATTAGCATGGTCTTGAAGTGCAGCTGAAGCTTGGTTAGGATTTGAACTAGAGGAAAGAATAGCTGTGTCATCAGCGTATGTTGCAAAAAGGGTATTACTAGGTTGAGGGATATCAGCTGTGAATACATTGTTTAAATCAGGGGATAAATCACTAATCTGCGGGACTCCAGCATATATTGAGTTAGTAGATAAGTAGATGATATATCATTACCCTGTCATACGACAAACAAATAATTTTGCAGATAAGATTTGATAATAAGATAGTAGGGAGCTGGCATGAAGATTTATAATTTGTATAGTAAGCCTACGTGCCAAACTCTATCAAATGCTTGAGCAATACATTTTATTTTATGATATGATATGCACTAATAAATGTAAAAAATCAACTTTATGTCAAATATGCTTTAACACACAAAATACACAAAAACATGCTCTATTAAACTTCATATTTTTATTATTATTGGTATGAAATGTTTTTGTATCTTAGTGAGCATGTTTTACTGTGTTGCAAGAAAAACATGCAAATGAATTATGCATGGACTTACGAGCCCTGTCAATGACTATTGAATTAAAATTTAACACCCATTACAGTTACTGTTTTGATACCTAATGTACAGTAGAGTGTTTCCCACTTATCCACTTTTTATTTTTTTTAGACTTCACAAATTAATGTATGTTCTTCTTAACTATAAACATCAAGTAATTATATTATACAATTTTTTTTTTATAGATATTTCAAGATCAAATTACAAAAATATCCCCTGCTGGCTGGACAATTAAAGTATACTTCATAATATTTCTAGGTATWATATGTATAGTATACTTATTATTCAATGTATAATTAGTTATTATTACCATTGATTATATTTTGTATAATGTATAGAAAAACAATGTTCAATATTTTAACCTATGCTAGATATTGATTAATTGACAATGATAACAGATTGCACACAGTCACCAACAGTATTATTTTATTTATTAAGAGAACACCATTCCTGCATGTGTTATCTTTGTCTTACAAGTGCGTAACACAGCAAATTGTATGTTCAGCAATTCTAATTTAGCTCAGTTAGTTTAAAATTTAGAGTGAATTGACCTATTATAAAAATTAAAGATAACATTATTATCTAGGTTATTATTGAGGATTTTTATTACATTTTAATTTTAAAGCAAGTTATAAGTATTTTTAAAATTATAAATTGTTTGTAAATCTTAAAATACTCATAACTCACTTTAAAATTAAATATAATAAAAATCCTCTGTGATAACCTAGATAATAATGTTACCTTCAATCTTTATTCGAGGTTAATTCACTTAAAATTTTAAACTAACGGAGCTAAATTGGAACTGCTGAGTGTAAAATTTGGCAAACTACGCACTTTTTGGACAAAAACAACACATGTGGATATGGCGTCCTCTTAAGAGGATGTGATACCTACCCCCATATGTTGTCTCCGTCTTACAAGTGCATAATATAACAAATTTTACGCTCAGCAGATCACGATTTGCTCCATTAGTTTAAAAGTTAGAGTGAATTGAATCATACAATCTATAAATTAAAATATTATTTAGACGACCTCATGGATTTTTTACTGTATTTTAATTTTGAAGCAAGTAATAAGTATTTTAAAATTGTAAATTTTTTGTACATCTTTAAACACTTATAACTCACCTCAAAATTAATATAAAGTAAAAAGCCCATGAGATCGTCAAAATAATATTCTTATCTTTAAAAATTAAATTTTATGAGAAATCGATTAACTCTAATTTTTAAATTAACGAAGTAAAACGTGATCTGCTAAGTGTAAAATTTAGTATATTATGTACTTGTAAGACAGAGACAACACATGGGGGTATCACATCATTCACATCCTCTTAAGAGGACGCTACACCCGCATGTGTTGTCTCCGTCTTACAAGTGTGTAACATTGCAAAAACTGTTTCGCGTGGGAAAGAACCGAGAAAGCTACAGTTATAACTAAGAAACGAAATTTTCATCACATAAAAAGGAAAATTTTGTCTGCGTGCAATATCGTTTTTATTTTTTCGATATCAGAACTACAAAAAAATTCTTATTGTTTTATAATACATTAATTTTGTGTTTTTTAAGCACGAATAACTTTTTTGTAGTTCTGATATCGAAAAAATAAAAACGATATTGCACAGACAAAATTCTCCTTTTTATATGGTGAAAATTTCGTTTCTTAGTTATAACTGTATCTCTCTCGGTTCTTTCCCGCGCAAACAGTTTTTGCAATGTTAGTATGTTACGCACTTGTAAGACGAAGACAACACATGCGGGTGTATAATGTATATTCGGCGCGGAATAAGATCATGACTAGGCGGTGGACCGATTAGCGTCCGTTACGCACAGCCGATTTCTCATTGGTTCCCCAAACATCTGTTCACAGTTATATAATTTACAAAGCCGGTAACTGCCACTTTTGTTGGCGGTGCGGTGGAGGAAGTTGTTTTGAATGATCGACTGGTCGTCTGGTCATGATCTTATTCCGCGCCGAATATAGCGTCATCTTAATAGGTGAAATGTAATTTAAATTATATTATTACTCGTATTTTATTGTTTGACGTAATAACTTATTTTACTTCTATTTTGTACATAAATGACTAGGTAATTATTATAAGGATTAATTTGAATAATTATTAGTAGGTAGAAATATTACACTGTATTTGCAACAAATTTTTCTTCCACTATTAGCTACCTCCCTGGGAGTCTAGAATATATTATTTTTATAGTATATTRTTTTCTATACAATATATACTCAATGGTTTTGCTAATTAAAAATTTTTTTAGTAACCAACATTTTAGATGAACAACATGGAACATTTAAATTCAAAGTGAGTATGTTTTAAAAAGTATTTTTTCATCAAAACAGAGGTTCCCAAATACGACCCATTTTGGAAAATGTTTAAATTTTGATAACCAACAACATTCTTCATAAATATATAAATATTTCAAGGAACAAATGCACTTTACCAACCCCCTCACAATTTTCAAAAATTTTTTTTTAACCGACTTGCTTTTTTTATGCTTAAAACAATGTTGTAATTTTTTTTTTACCGAAAACTATTATTTTAGAAGTTATAGCCTTCCAAAGTTTACGATTTTACGCTTATGTGTTTGCGCGCAAAGCTATAAGACAGCCACTATAACAAATTGTTATTATTTTTTTTATGTATTTTAACATAGTTGTGAGACATAGTAATTTTCGGGTGAAAAAAATGGAATAATTGCACTTTACCTCTCACACGATGTTTTGGAATTTTTTTGAAGTTTTTGTAAAGTTTTTGAACCTCTCGTTGGATGGGGGCTCGTCCCCCAAACCCCCGGTGCTAAAATAGCAAACCTGTGGGGGGGGGGTC